ATATACTGATAAGGTTCTAGTATCCAGAATATGTAAAGAACTCCACAAGTTGGGGGCCAGGGATGTAGCTCAGTGGCCCCACATCTGCCTGGCAAGCACAAGGTCGAGTTTAATTCCCAGTACCGGGGAAAAAAAATGTTATGAAGAACTCCACAACTCAATTAAAAAAACAAAACAAAACTGAAGCCAGGCACAAGCCTGTAATCCCAGAACCAGCAGGCTGACACAGGGGGATTGCTGTGACTTCGAGGCTAGCCTGGGCTACATAGTCAGTTTAAGGTTGGCCTGAACTACATAGTGAGACCCTGTCTCAAAAAACAAAACAAAATAAAACAAACTAAATACTGGGCAAGAGATCTGAATAGACTTTTCTCCAATGAAGATATACAAATGCCAATAAGCACATGAAAAGATGTTCAACATTATTAATCATTAGGGAACTAGAAAACAAAACCAAAATGAGATACTAATTCATATCTTATTAGGATAAGCAAGAGTGGCACACATAGACAAGAGAGATAATAGAATGTGTTGGAGAAGATGTGGAAAATTAGAACCCTCAGACAATAATGATAGGAATGCAAAATGCTAAAACCACTTTGAAACAGTTTAGCAGTTCCTCAAAATACACAGTCACTATATGACCCAACAATTCTGTCCTAGGTATATACTTAAGAGAACTAAAAAGAAATGTCCACATAAAAACTTGTATACAAATGTTCATAGCAGCATTATTCACAATAACCAAAAAGTGGAAACCTAAACGTCCAAGAACTGATGAACAGAAACACACAACCTGGTATTTTGCACACAATTCAGTATTAGCCACAGAACAATAAAATTGCTGGTATATGTTACAAATTAGATGAACCTTAAAAACATATGCTGTCAAAGAAGCCAGATAAAAAAGACCACATATTATATAATTAATGTATATGAAATATCCAGACTAAACAAATCCATAGAAAGCAGATCAGTGGCTGCCAAAAGCTTGATCATGAGTATGAATACGGGATTTCTTTTTCTGGATAATAAAAATGGTCTGGAATTAGTGGTGATATATACAAAACTTTGCGAGCAAACTTAAAAACCACTGAATGGTACACTTCACAAAGGTTAATTATATTAAGCATCACCAAAACAAAAAAAAAAGAAAGAATTTTTATAGCATGTGAATTATAGCTCAATTTTAAAAAAATAAGGATATGGATCACTGTACTTAAAGATACTTCCTGCACACAAGAGATGGTCTATTAAATGAGCTAACAGTTTAGAGTAGAATCATCCTCAAAAGAGTATGTACAAGTGTGTAGAATAATAAAAAGTTTAAAAATATTTGCAGGCAGATTAAAAGATAATTTGTACAGTAGCAATGTTAGATTTTTAACTTGAAACTATAAACAATGACAGATTTGTTTATTCACATCTATTCAGTAACAGAAACTCAGATGCCACACAGCAGATGGGTAGACAAGAAAGAGAGGTTCAGAGGTGTATCAAACAAATCAAGCCCCTTTCTCAACATTCAGAGCCTGTCTGAAAGCTAGGGAAGAAAACTAATCTTATTAATACATACCCAATCCAACCTGTAAGGATGGAAATTTGCCCATTTTTTTTTTTTTTTTGGTACCGGGGATCGAACTCAGGACCTTGCGCTTGTGAGGCAGGCGCCGGAACCACTGAGCTAAATCCCCGGCCCATAAATGGTACCTTGAATTTAAGTCTGAGTACCTGTTCTTTTTTTTTTTTGGCCCATATTAAAGATATTCAAAGAAAGAATATATTGATTTTACACAATCTTGAAAATAAATTTTGTGCAGGAACATAAAGTATAACCTCCAAATGTGCTTAGAAAATATTGTTGTGTATGGTAATATTGTCCCTATCAAGGTGGTTTCTGTCACTGTTGGAGAGTTTCACAATTGAATCCTTAAAAAAACACTTCTCTCCTGAGATAAAGACAGCAAAGTGTTGCCAACCACAAGTTGTTTAACAAAACGTCTCCACTTTTTGGATGCAGTGTTGCACACTTGTAATCCCAGCACAGCACTGGAGAGGCTGAGGCAGGAGGATTGCCAAGAGTTAGAGGCCAACCTGAGCTATATACTGAATTCAACGTCAGCCTGAACTACATAATTCTCAATAAATAAAATAAATAAATAAATAATTTTGTTTCCACTTTTTAACCTGCATGAGAAAATTCTACAACCTACTTTTACAAACCTTTATCACCAGCATGCCCCTAATCATAGATTGTAGTTTAAGGAGATATCACGTGCATTTCTGCTTTTGCTTATGCTATTTCTCATGAATAGAATGCTTTTTCCGTACTTATCAAAATGAAGCAAAAATCTGCCACCTTCTTCAGAAAGCCTGTCATTATCATCTCAAGAAATTTCTTTCATTGCTAAACAACTTGTTTTTGGCTATACTATCAAATGCCATGTTTTGTCTTGTACAATAACTGGATGCATATTTTCTCTAAGGACTAAAAGTTCCTGAAGGTTAAGGCAGTTTCTCCAATCTTTAATATATGCTTGGTAGAAGGCAGATGCTTAATAAATATTTAAATGAACTAAGGCTAACCTAACTCCCTTTCATTCCTAAAAGCAGCTAACGGATCATCAGGCAGGTACTCAAAAGTGGAACGTTCCCAGACATCAAATAACCAATTCCCAGTGTGTAAGACAGAGCATTCCGTGCATGCCCATTAAAGCTCTAGCATTGTATTCAAATGCTTCCTAGAATTGTTCCAGCTACAAGAACATTTAAGAGAATCAGAGTAATTTGAAGTTTCTTTCTGTAAGTCAGAGACTCATCCTGTTGACTTTATTAGCCAAGCTAGAACTAACCTAAAATCACAACTCTCCTCACACTGGAAAGAATTCAAGAATACAGTAAGGATGAATACCAGCCATCCAGGATGTTACATCACATCAGGCAACAGAGAGAACCTAGATCTTCCAGGAATCTGGAAAAATCCTATTAGTTCTAGAGGATCCCTTAATAATCACCTGGTAACAAAATATCCATCTTGATCATAATCACTGTTCGAACCCACTCACTATATGGTGAACATTCCTAATCCAAAATGCTCAAAAAGGTTTGGAATGGAGAATTTGGAGCATTTCAGAATTTCAGATTTTTGGATGAGGGTTGCTCCATCAGTAAAATCTATGTAAATATTCTAAAATCTGTAAAATTCTGAGATCCGAAGCATTTCTGATCCCAAACACTTCAGATAAAAGAAACTGAACCTGAAGTAAGTCCAATTCAGCTAAACTTAGTCATGGAATCACCACTACACTCCTGTCCCCCAGAGAAGTAGAAGGGAAAATTAGATTTGAGAAATAACTGAAAATTCATTTTTAATCCACCACTACTATAAATTAAATCATTTAGAACCAAACAACTCTGAAGTATTAAAAAAATCAAGGGCCAGGGATTTAGCTCAGTGGTACCATTGCCTGCCTCACAAGCGCAAGGTCCCAAGTTCTATCCCTCGTAACAAAAAAAAAGAGAAAGAAAATCAAACAGGAGACTCGAGTAGTTTAACTGTTCACAACCAATTCTATTAAAATAAAACAATTATTACATTTGGCAGTAAACCACACAGTTGCTTTTGTGACTGTATTAAGGATCACTGCCAGCTCTTTTAAGTATAAACTTAATGCCACAAGTGATTTACTTAGAACTTACCTCTTTGGGAACAAAATTACATATAATAAAAGAGAAAATATGAGGCCCAATTGATTTTAGTTGGGCGACTATCAATATATATTACTGTTTAGATTAAAATACCACTCTGGACTCTGGACTCTAAAACCTCCTGAACTTTACCAGGAAGGGAGCAATTTGGATTTTAAGCATGCTTTAAGAAAAATGATCACCAGATTAAAATACTACAAAAAAATGAATCTAATTTTGACATTCAATTGAGATATTTACATAGGATTTTATTATTCACAAAAGTATAAAACACTTTGTCAAGCAGCAGTAAATAACCACTAATACTAGCAATAACTGATTTTAAAAAGGGAGCCTGAGGCACAAGGCAAAAATTTAAAGCAAAAAGAATTAAAATAAGATAAACAACTCATTAAAATCATCTAAAGCAACATTAACTTAAGAAAACTGCTGGGTTATATTCCTCAATTTCTTTTAAAAAGTAAAAAGCCCTATTGAACAAAACCAATCACCTAAGGAAAGTAAAACAAACACAAGAAGTATTCTTCAAAATGATTTCAGTATTTTACATTTACCCACGATTCTGAAAATTCATTAATTTTATGATTCTCAAAACTTTCAACCGTATATATTCTTTACACGATGGTGACAACACATAATTCAGAGGTGCTTAAATCAATGTAACATTTTAGCAGATGTATGATAGATCTGAAAGAACAAAACAAGCAGAGACACAGCAAATGGTAGCTGATAGCCAAAAGACTATTTCCTGGGTTTGGACTGGCAGAAGAAGAATTTTAACATATATTCACAAAACAATCATACCTTCCTCCAAAAAAAACAAAAAACAAAAAACAAAACTATTCGTGCCTTTATTTCTACAAGCACAGATTTTTAAATGTACTTTTAACCTTTGGACAACCAAAGCTCTATAGTTATAGTATCGTTGCTGTATTAATGTTGATGTTACAGTCTAAGCCTTTAAAAAAAAAAAGTCACATTATATATTTTCATACTGATAGCACTGCAGAAATAGCAAAGGTTACAATCTCTAAGTAAAGGTTACCCTATTTTTCACTTGTTTAAAGTTTCAGTTTTGCTTTTTAATCTATTATAGAAAACATCCCTTGTGGGACATTGTAAAGGGCAAACCCTCCTGTCAAGCCAGAAGGCTCAAACACAAAGACTGCGCTAACCAAGTGCTGTAATTCTTCCAAACTGAGCCTCTCCACACCCCCTCCATCCCCCCCAACAGATATGTCTATTAAATCAGTGTCTGTTCTCCCCCTCGCACAACAAAGAGAACTTCTCACCGCATGAAATTGCAGCTGAATGGACACCAGAAAGCAGGATTTGCATAATTCCTTCCAACGAAACCCCTTCGAGAAGGAGGGGATGAGGGGGCCCAAGCGAACAGCTAGAACCTCCCGGATTCTGTTGGGGAAGACCTGGTTGACAAGAACATTCCCCACGGGGTGGGGGCGGGGGCTGCCATTCTGGGCCTCCCGGAGGACTGGGCGTGGGGGACAGAGGACGACGAGAGGGCATTTCCCCACACATCAGCAGCAGCACCGAGGCAAAGATGGGGAAATAACAATGCTGAGGACAGAAGTCAAACACAAGGATGGACTGGGGGCGGCGGGCGGAGCAAAGACACCACACCGGCCACTTACTTTTCGGAGGGGGATTAAATATATGAGTTAAGCCCTTATGGTCCCGCCGGCCGCCGCACAGAGGGAAACGGGACCTTGGGAGAGAAAAACAGACAAAACACACAGTGTGAGAAGCGCAGCTTCAGCCGCCCGGGCCCTCCCGGGGCGCCCCCGTCCACACTCCCTGCGACCAGCGGGGAAACGCCACCCCAGCAAGAGCGGACAAGGCAGATTCCGCGAGGCGGCCGAGGCTCCGGCCAAACCAGGCGGGGACAAGAGCGACCCCTCCTCCCCGCCGCGCACACACCGAACACAAATACGCACACACCGACCCGTGCGTCGAGGACGAACTCCCCGGCCGCCGCCGCCGCCGCCGCCCCCCGCGGCCATGACACCCCACTTGGCACAGTCAGGCGGACCCCGGGCCTGTGACAGCTCCGGCTCCCTCCGCCCCCATCTCCACCTCACGCCTCGCACTCGCCGAGCGCCGGGCGCCCGCCGCGCGTGCCCGCGGGGATGGGGCGAGCCGCCGCGCGTGGGGGAGGGGCGCGGAGAGGCGGCCCCACGCGCCCGGGTCTCGCGCCACCCGGCCCAGCAGCAGCCCCGGGCTCAGTCTTCACAATAAACTTGCGGCCGCGAAGGAGCTACGCGGGGGAGGGGGCGGGGAGGCGCGCGCCCAGAGCCCGCCCCGGGAGGTGCGAGGGGAGGGGCCGGAGGGCGCGCGCTCGCTCAAGAGTGGGGGAGGGGCGCCCGAGCGCGAGAGGGCGGACGAGAGGGCCGGAGCCGCGTTACCTCGGCCCTCGCTCCCTCCCTCGCTTGCCGGGAGCGGCCAGCGGCGAAGCGACTGGAGGGCCGGCAGCAGCCCAGGAAGGATCTCACCTACACAGTGAATGAGCTTGTGGCGCCACGAGTCCAGTTCTTGCCGAAAGCCGCGTCTCTCAACGGAGCATTGCTGCCGCCTACACACCCTCGCCATCTTCTGCCGCCCGCCGGGCCCTGCCTCCGCCGCGGCCCCGCGCACGCCCAGCCGCGTCGCCCGGGGCCGCGCACGCACCCGCGGCCTGGGCGTCGCGCCTCCCGCCGCGGGCAGGGTCGGTCTCACCTCGCCGCGGTCCCAGGGCGGCCTGCATCCGCGCGTCCTGCCCCGCCCCAACGCCGGCCCGCCGCTCGGCCCGCCGGCTGAGTACACTGGTTTTGGCTACGTCTCCGCCTCCTCAGGCCGCCCTGGACTGTGCCTTTCCACTGCCACAGTTCCGACCGGCGACCCCCTCGCGCTGTCCCCACAAGGCCAATGCTGCCTCGACCCTCCCCGAATCTTTTTGTATTTAAACCGGTCCCATTTATCACTTCCAACCTGCCGAGCGCCCGACACCAACTGTTGCAAGTCATAACTGCTTCTCTGAACTTTGAGGTCGAAACTGCTCCTCCCTGGAGCCTGTCTGTTTAAGCAGCAGAAATAAGAAGATGCCCGTGGAGACTCCAACTCCTAAGGTTTTCAAAGGTGAAATGGATATATGCTTAAGTCCTTGAAAGACTTATCCAGTATTTGTAAACCAAGAGAAAAATTGAATCCAAGCGTTTTAAGTTAAACAAAACTATGTTTCTCCTAGCAAGGTTGACCATAGGTAAAATTCTCAAGGGATTTGAGAAAATTGTGTAAAGTGAAAATGGATTTCAAAAGAAGATTTAAAGAGTTCTTAAAACAAGCTGTTAGTAAATGCTCTAATTTCCGACTCAGAAAAATATTTTCAGTGAGAAAAGGATTTCCAGGTGCTTACTGGAGTAATTAGATCACCCTGAACAGGGAACTAGTTTCATTTAAATGAGCGAGGAGAGAGGGGAGAGGGAATATAGGAGAACTAAAGGGAAAAGGGGGGAAATAAAAGAAATTAAATTTTTAATTTTTATATTTCAATGCTATAGACTAATACCCCAATACAATACAATAGGACTGGAACCCCAGGATTCTGGCCTCTTCGGGGTCTAAAATTAAGGATAATGTTTTCCTGGTTTTAGAAATTTAAATTTGTAGCCTTAGTTTTACTTTACTGTAGTAGGTAAAGTCGTTAAATATTTGACACCAAAGATCCTGTTGATGTATTTATTAACATCTTTTAAAAGGTAGTGTTCCTGGTTCTCCGAACCAGGCACTTGTGGAATGGCGTCTATATACTTAAAGAGATGGATAGGGTGGGCTTCTTGGGTAGGAGTGCTTTGAGATCCATGGGTAGAAGAGCACCCCCCACCCCACCCCCCGTGCTCTTTACACAACCCTCAAAAGTTCAGTTTTTCATTGGTTTAAGTCTACTGTCAAATGAACAAACTATTAAGTCTGGAAGTTTGTGTGGTGAAGGGAGAAGAGGAATATGAGATAAAATATTACAAATGACCTTTTGCATGTGATGTCAAAACATCTTGTATCACCAACCTGAAACTCTCTCCCGTCGCCGCTAGGTGGTGGGTTTGAGTCTTCTCTATCGTTTAAGCAATTTTGGAGGAAGTAAAAGCTTTGTATAATAAACCGCGGATAATTCAAAAATGAATTAGTAATAAATGTACTCTATAATCACCCCACATTACTTGTTTTAAAACAAACCAAGGGTAATAGTTCCTCAATATAATGTATCTTAAGGAGTCTCAGACATAGATTCAGAGAATTCTAGAGGCTTCAGAGATGAATTTTAAACTGAAGTTTGGATTCTCTCATTTGAGATATGGAATTGGAAGCCAAGACAAATAAGGTGACTGGACCAAAGTTACATAATTGCTAGATAGACAAAAGCTAGGTGACAACTTCTCAATTCCCAACTTTATGCTATTTCTACTACTCCACTTTGAATCTCAATTTCTGCTGCATTTATTTTAAGTTGGGGACCAACAGGGAGATGACTCCTCACAAAAGCCTATTTTGGAAGACAGGATGATGGGTAACAATAAAGATAGTATCTTTATTGAGTACCTACTATGTGCTTAGAATTACAGCATAATTCCATTCCACCTGAACAACAATACTATGTATTATTTTACCACAATTTCCACTTTAGGGGCTCCAGACTCAGGAGAGTTAAATACATTGGTCCAAGTTTACATAGCTACCAAATGGCAGGACCAGATTTTGTTGTTGTTGTTGAGACAGGGTCTAACTATGTAGTTCAGGCTGGCCTTGAACTCGAAATGTATCCCAGGCTGGCCTCTTTAATTTGTGGAAATCTTCCTACTTCAGCATTGCAAGTGCTGGGATTGCAGGTGTGCTCTACCACACCCAGCAACCAAATTTCTAAAATATCTCTGACTAAACTCTTGTCTCTCTAAATTGTCCTGTAAGTAAGAAGCAGGACTCAGCAAGCAGAGGATTCATTTAATCCTATATGAAGTGACCTACACACAGTGAGCAATTGAACAAATATTCTACCATATGTCAGGCCATGGTCTAGGCATGATTTCTGACTTCTATTTCTCGTGGCTACCCTGGAAGAAGGCCTCATCTATAAACTCTTCCCATTCCTGCAAGAGTCAAGCAATAAAATATGACAGTTAAGAGAATAGACTCTGGAGCCAGGGATTTAGCACAGTGGCACCACACCTGCCTTGCAAGCGCAAGGTCCTGAGTATGATCCCTGGTACCAGAAGAAGAAAGAGAATAGACTCTGAAGACAGAGCTTGATTGGAATTCTGGCTCCGTTCCTTACAGCTATGTTACATTAACTAATTTTTTTGGTCACCAATTTCTTCAAGTGAAAAAGAATAATAATAGTGTGTAAGATGAAGTTCATGTGAAGGTGAAATGAAACAATTCTTACACAGTGTCTGGCCCGATTATAGCATGAAGTGAGCATCAAATTCCATTGTTAGACCTACCTAAGTGCCAATGTGCTTGCCCAGTCTGCAGAATGGCAGAGGGCTAAGGTGCTTGTGCAATTAGTTTTTGAAAACAACATTCCCTGAGCTATGTTCTGTACTTCTCACAATAAGTTCCAAATGATAGGAAAAAATGGAGCAAAAAAGAAGAATATCAGAGAAGGAAAGTAGACTCTCTCCTTCCATAGAACTGGGTTTATTAGTATTAGATCAACCAGTACCCTGTGTCTGATTAATTGGAAATGGCATGGAGTAGGGAAATGGCCATCAATAAATAGGAAATTAAATAGATTGGGGCCTTCTACAGACTGAGAAACATAAGGGAAGCCATGTCAGTTGGTGGCTTGGTATTTTTGAGTACTCATATAGGGGCTCTTTGCTTAGTGAAAGACCTTCAGAGTTCCTCTCTTCTTAATATGTCTCTCTGGTCTTAATATGTACCACTGGCCTAGAAAATTTGGGAGTTTTATATTGTGTGTGAAACTTATTTTTCTTTTATAATTTTGAGATATATTTCATATACCATAAAATTACCTATTTGGCTAATTTCAGTGGCTTTTGGGGGGACATTGAAACAGGGTCTTTCTATGTAGTTCAAGCTAGCCTTGAATACACTATGTTGCCCAGGCTGGTCTCAAACTCATGGCAATCCTCCTGCCTTAGCCTCCCTAGTGCTGAGATTACAGGTGTGTGCCAACATGCTTGGCTCTCGGTGGCTTTTTATTATATTCAGAGTTGTACAAGCATCATCATGATCAATTTTAGAACATTTTCATCAACCTAAAAAGAAGCCCCTTTTCCTTATTAATCGCTCATCCTTCCCCTAGCAACAACTAATCTAATCTTTGTATACCAGTGTTTCACGTAAAATGAATTATACAATATGTGGTCTTTGTCATTGGCTGCTTTCACTTAGCATAGTTTTGCAAAGATTCCTCCATGTTATAGCATGTGTCAGTATTTGCTTTTTATTGCCAAATAATATTTCATTATTTAGGTATACATTTTGTTCATCCATTTGAGTTGATGGCTATTTTTACTGTTTTCACTTTTTGGCTGCTATGAATAATGGTTTTATGAAAATATGTGTGCAAAGTTTTGTGTAGACATAAGTCTTTGTGGTTTCTTTTAAAAAGAAATATGAATATTTCATATTT